CGCAGATGTTGACTTAACGAGCGAGCCATCCCGTGTCTCGCATCTAGTGCACTTCTGAATTCCTTCGCCGAACCCACCACCTTTGTCCTGGGATTCTCTCCTCGATGAATCCCTCTATTAGTCACGATGTCCAATGTCTACGATGATCAAGAGGGAGGTGGTTTCCGTCGGCGGAGACCGCGACCAATCACTGATTATGGCTCCTCAATGATTCAGTGGATGAGCAACCGTAAACCCCCTTACAAAGGAAGCTATCACTACGAACAAGAAAGACCGAGCCAAAGCTATGTCATTGACATATTGCCACCCCCGGCTCGAAGAGATGCCCCGGCCGAGTCGATCCCCGTTCGCCATCTTCACACCTCTTTGGGAAAATCCAAAAAGCCTGTGACGGTCGTGCGGTGGATGCCCGAAGGTCGTCGACTTCTTGCCGGCGTGCACAATGGCGAATTCATGCTGTGGAATGGCATGTCTTTCAATTTCGAGACTGTTACTGCGATGGGCTCTAGTTCTCTTCGGGCTGCGGAATGGTCTAATCGGAAGGACTGGCTGGTTGCAGCAAACGACGAAGGCACCGTGTATTACCTTCAGCCGACTTTGAACAATCCGCATCAATTCAAAGGCCACGATGCTCCCATCAGAGATCTGGCATTTGCGCCCTCGGACGCGAAATTCGTCACCGCATCCGATGACAACACTCTCAAAATCTGGGACTTTACCTCTTCCACGAACGAATCGACCTTTACAGAGCATGGATGGGATGTAAAAGCTTGTGACTGGCATCCCACCAAAGGCCTCGTTGTCTCGGGAAGCAAAGATCACAGCGTCCGATTATGGGACCCTCGGGCATGTCGGAACCTAACAACACTGCACGGTCACAAGAATGCCATCACGGCCACTGTTTTTAGCCGTCTTCGTGATCAGCTACTTGCTACAGCCGGCAGAGACGGCCAAACACGTATCTTTGATTTACGGATGATGCGCGACGTTGCTATCTTGCGAGGTCATGAGAAAGGCGTCACTACCGTATCATGGCATCCAATTCATCCGAGCCTCATCAGCACCGGAGGCGACGATGGCTCACTGCATTCCTACCTACTCACCGAACCCAACACACCAGCTGGTATCTCCTCCACAACAATATCTCCCTATGCATTGTCAGATCCCCGTTCTGCCCCTGCACAATCGATCTATCCCGCTCACCGCATTTCCCACGCTCATGACTCCTCAATCTGGTCTATCGACTGGCACCCTCTGGGGCATATTCTGGCTTCCGGCTCAAACGACCACTTTACGCGGTTCTGGTCTCGCGCACAGCCTGGGCAAACCACTTGCTTCAAAGACCAATTCCACTTGGGCGAAGAAGGAGCAGAGGCCCAGGGCACTTGGGATAGAAAGTTTGGGAGGAAACAAGCCAAGGAGTTGGAAGAGCAGGAAGAGCAAGACGAGGCAGAGGGGCTGGAGGATCAGGCAAACCAGGGACAAGCAGCGGCTGCCGGAGGATTGTCAATCCCCGGTTTACCTGGGATACCTGGCCTTCCTGGCATAGGGATGAACGGGACGACGCAGCCTAGTCTGGGCACTGGTCATGTTCCTCCGCCACCACTATCGCTCTTGTCAGGCCTGCAGAACAATGTCGGTATGGCTGGCAACCTAGGCCGGCCTTCCTCGCGTGGTGGTCCAGGTCAGGCTCATACAGCAGCTCCACCAATGCCACCGTTCCCTCCCGTTCCCGGCATGGATGCCGAATCCCTTCAGCGCCTGCTTGCCTTGACCCAACAACAACAACAGCAGCAGCAGCAGCAGCATCAGCATCAGCATCAGCAGCAACCCAGTCTACAACCGTTCCCAGGCACCTCCACCGTCCCTCCGATGGACTTTGCAAACTTCAATCTGCCGCCTGGCTTCCCACCCCCTCCGCCCACCGCCAGTAGCCAGATCGCACCTCCTCTCATGAGCTCCGCGCCCGGTACTGGCATTCCCGGAATCGGAATTGGAGGCGGAGGAGGAGGCATCCCAGGCCTCGCTGGCAACAACGGCGGCGGCACGCCCCCACACGCCTCCAACGCCGCCAATGCTGCCGCAATGCGCAGGCGAGCGCCACTACCCAGCCAAAGTGAGGGATTCAAGGCTGAGCAAGCAAGAGGGAATTACCGCGTGCCACGATAAGTGCAGGTAGTTGTCGCTCGCTTTTGTGTCGATGCTCGAATCTGTCAACCGACCAAGAACTGCGTCCCTGCGATATCTACTCTTATGGCACGGGAATTTCTCGTCTCTCGTCTCTTTGTTCTTAGTTCTTACGCGTCTTGGGCTAGCACATTAAAAAGGGGACGGGATGTTGATTTTACTGCGGTTTCTCCAGGTCCTCCATCTAGGAGAGGGACCTTTTAGCATGGTATGGAACGGAGACGACTGGGTCGGCTGAGACTGGGGAGGGCATTCTTGAGAGGAAATTCAGGGCAATCTTTTTTTTTTGATGTTCTGCAAACGCAATGGAATTTCATTGAAGCTGTTGCAATCTGGAAAATCACATTTTCCCTCTAGCCCACTAACTAGGGTTCCTCGTTGGCTCGTACTGCACTAACTGCACTATTCGCGCTTCTCGCTCAGATGGAAGGTCCAGCACCAGCATCAACGTCCATTTCCATTTCATTCCTGTTAGCCGCCACTGCCCCTGCGGAGGCATTAGCGCCGTGTATGTCGTTGTGATTGCCGCGCGAGGTCGGCCCGTCGACCACGTCGCCCATGTCCATGGTCATCTGCATGTCCATGTCCATGTCCATAGCCATGGCTGTGTCATTGTGGTCTTGCGGGCCCAAGCCCTGCTTGCCGCGCGTGGTGAAGAAAAAGTCGGAATCGGCCTCGGCGTCGTCGCCTTCGAGCATCCAGATGCGCAGGTCGCGGTCCTTGCCGCCGCTCACGAGCAGACCCTTGCCGTCGGCGGTGCGGCCAAAGTCCATGGCCAGCACGACATCGCGGTGTCCCTTGCCGCGCCAGAGGACTTCTTTGCTCGTCACGTCCCACACCAGCACGTCGCCGTCTTCGCTGCCGCTGGCGACGAATGCTGCCCGCCGCTTCTGTCCGGTTCCCGTGCTGTACGAGTAACTCCCCACGGTGCCGCTCAGGCTGTACTCCATGTTCACGTGGCCTTGATACGTCTTGACACATCGGCCTTCAATGTAGTTCCACAGCCTGACGCAGTTGTCCAGGGTCCACGCGAGCACAAATTTACCGTTCGGCGAGAACCTGACGCTCGTGACGGCCTTGCGGTCCTCGTCGACCAGTGTCTTGAGACACTGTCCCGTCCCAGAGTCCCATATGCGAATCAATCCGTCCCCGGCGCAGGAACAGACCATTGTCCCGTCTCTTATGAAGTCCACGCCGCCGACGGGGTCCGAGTGTGCCGGTAGACTGCGCATCACGCGTCCTGAGCGTACGTCCCATAGGAATACGGCTTCATCGAAGGAGCCAGAAACGAGCATGTTCCCCTTGGGAGAGAAGGCAAGGGAATAGACATAGTTGCTATGGCCCATGAGGGGCGAGGGCGCGATCGGGAAGTCTGAGGAGAGGGGGGCCCAAAGGAGGATCGATTTGTCGTCGCCGGCTGAGGCAAGAGTGTACGGTGGTCCCACCGGAGACCAGGCTATTGCGTTCACTCCTGCTAAATGTGCGCGTAACGTGCGTATGTGTTTTAGAGGTGTGTCCGGTGTTGGGGTTGACGGGACAGAGTAGATATTGATTGCATTGTCGGCCGACGCGGTCGCCAGGAGAGTCATGTCAGGGGAGAATTTGATCGAGGTGATTCCTCGAGCGTGCGCGCGGGGGAGAGTTATTAGAGGGGTGAAGTTGAGAGACTTGGGCTTTTCTGTCGAGCCTGGGATGGGTGACGCCGGCCGTGATTGGGAGCGTGAACGAGAGCCCCGGCGGTCGAGCGACGACTCATACGATCTGAATCTTGACCTTGATCTTGACCTTGACCTCCTCCGTGACTCCGATCTTGAACGGGGTTGTTGCTCTCGTCCAGACTCGTACATCGAACTTGGGGTTCGGGACATGCTCAGACTTCTTCTCCTGGAACGCGACCGACTACGACTCCTTGATCGTGGGTGGGGTGCGTCATCGCGACTGGCGTTTCTGCTCCGCGAAGTCGAATATCCCCTTCCCTTCCTCGCGTCTCGATCTGAACGTGTGGAATCTGCATGGCGCAGGGCGGGAAGATTCGACCTTGGTTCGGCCGTGGAAGTGCGGGAGGAGAATGAGTCTTCACTTGACGTCCGGCGTCGTTTCGGGGGAGGATCGCGATCAATATCCATGACTTGGTCGTGTTGGATGTTTGGTCGTGACGGTTTGAGAGAGACGTGTTGTCTACCACGGCGTGTCTGTTCAATGCGGGAGATAAATTGAGTGGAACAAGGGAGCAAACATGACAAACTTTCAGGTTGCTGCATACATGCCAAGCCTGGCATCAATCTGGCCGCGGGGGGTTAAGTGGACTAACTAGGTACGTACATCAAAAGTACTCGCAACCAAAACGACCGATTGCTATATACAGTTCAATACTGATCCTTAAGATAGGAGTACAAGGACTATTGGTTCCCCTGCGATGCAATGAGAAGATTCTGCTATGGTAGGTGCTGTCAATGTCTTGCGCTCCAGTCAAAACATCCTCGTCGGACAGGGAGCCACAAGGCCGGATCCCCCCCAACAACCGCAGAACGCCAATGAATTCATGATCCGGCAGCACGAATGGATGTGATCCGATATTCGGGCTATTTACCATCTTTGAGCGCCTCTCGCCACTTGCACTCCACAGATTCGTCGCTTATGCCAGACTGAAGAATCGAAAGGTGGTAAGAGACTGTCTCCAATTGGCACTGCCTCGCGGTCGCGGTTGTGAAAGTGAATTGCATTGAGCCTCCTAGGGAAGAAAGACAACAGTCCACCTTTTCAGAGAAGGAAAGGTAAGCATTCTCCTCTCACTAGACTTTTCATCCTACATCTCAACCCCACTGGCCCATCAGAACCCAAAACACCACGGTAAGAATCATCATGCCGGCCGAGACGACAAACCCAATCCACCCGACGCCCAGACAATATGCGGCGACCGAGAGACTCAGAAACACAAAGGCCAGACACTGCAGCAACATCAACCACAAACCCCCCAAACCCAGCACCACAATGCCAAAGACCACCGACCTCTCCCCGGCCGTCCGACTGCCCGCGCCGCCGCGCCAGGCCTTGTATCCGCGTTCAAAGGCGTCTCGCACATGTCGTCTGTGGAAGGTCAAGGCCATGCCGGTCACGGTCGCCACGGCCAGGGAGAGAGTGAAGAACAACCAAGCGAGGGCGATGAAGACCTGGATCTCGTCAAAGTACCGGCGCGGGCCGCCGTAGATGCCCACAGCGGCGGTGAAGGTGATGAGGGAGCCGAAGGTTGAGAGGAGAAAGGAACAGGGCAGGAGGCCGTCGAGGAAGCGGAGGGCTGGAGGGTCGTCGGGATCCGAAGCCATGTCGCTCGGTTGCGTCGGTTCCGGGCCAATTTCGAAGCGTTCCATTCAAAGTGCGAGTTCTGCCAGGCGTTGGCCGTCGATAATGCTGAGTCAGAGAGACGGCGAGATGGATGAGATCGTAATCCAGGGGTCGTTTGTTCTTCCGGAAGTACAGAGTGAGCCTTTCTTTGATCGTCGTCGAGCCCCTGATTTGTTGGTCGCAGAATTGTCCTCGTTCGTTCCAGTGGAATACTCAACCCAACCCAACTATTTTCACCTTCGTGTGACACTCCGCTCGCACACACGTGTCTTGTCGTGTGTGTATATGTATGTACGTACGTACGTACGTGCGTCGTACTCAAACAAATACGAACGATAAGGCTGAGATGACCACAAATGTATCTCGTAGTAGAAGACGAGGAGACGGGTGTGTCGACAAACACTGGCTATGCGCAAAGCCAGAACAACCAAAACCGCACAGAAGATGAAACGGGAGGAGGGGTTGGGGGGATCTGATCTATAGTTCTGGATGGGAAGTTATTATAATCGTAAGAGTAGAAGTCACTCGCGAGCGAGGGAGGTGAGAGGAGGGGGAGGGAGTGTGACAGACTACGTGCGATAGAGGCTAGAGGAGAGCAAGAGAAGAGAAAGAGGCCTCATGACTTGAACCTGCATTGGGTATGACGCTGGCAGCTGGTGACGCCTCACTCCCTCCCTCAGTCTACCGAGTAGAATCCCCTGTCTGTCTTGTCTGCCCTGTCCGCCTCATCCCTGTCTGCCCCAAAACCCTGTGTCGTGCATCATGTATCATGTATCAGTTCAGCTCAAGATCAGGCCAAGATCAGGTCGGGGCCAAGGCAGGGCAAAACAGACCGACTTGGGGAGATGCGCCTGCGTAGGCGTAGGCGTCGACGTTGGCGTTGGCATTAGCACTTGCATTGGTGTTTTCAGCCTGGTTTTATAATTTAGAAACTACGCGTTCCCATGTAGGTATTCAGCCGCAGCGTCGCGCAGGAGGGGATAAATGGGGCAGATGAGGGGCTAAAAGGGAAGCAAGTGCTCTGCTCGAAGCGAGGCAGGGCGCAGGCAAGGCAAGGCAAGGTGAATGAATGCCCAACACAAAGGTAAGAGAGTGCATACCTAAAGGTTGGGGCCAGAGGGGCAAGGCTGTCTGCCGGGTTTGCCTATTTGCCTACCTACCACCTGCAAACCATCTAGCTAGTGCTAGGTACGTGAGCACAAGTGTGTATCAGCATTAGGTGTGTAAAGTTGTCTCGGTGCGTAGGTAGGTTGTTTCACCAAACTACGAGGGACAACTAAATCACATCTAGGGCAACTTGTTTAGTCGGGGAAACTGCCCAAAAACCTGTTTTCTGAGCCACGGCGAACAAATGATCGACTCTAGTCCTTGTCTGCGGGGGGTTATCGTCACCTGATGCCAGTCTTGAGTCTTGAGTCTTGAGTCTTAACCAGGGGTGGCCCATCCCCGGTTTCGCCAATGTCAAATCAATTACTCCCAAACAAATCCGCACTACTTGTAGATCAGACCAGAGCAGACTAGGCAGACTAGGCATTTGTACCAAGTAGACATGTGCCGGAAGATGCGCTGTAGTCTTGACCATTATTCTCAAGGATCTCCACGCCGAGATGCGAGTACTCATACTAGAACACGGTGGTCTAAATCACTTACCTAGGCGCCTAGGTATACAACGTGGTGTGGTATACAAAGGCGACAAGGCTGAGGTGCCAGGTGGGTGGGTGGCTTGGGCGGATACATCTGTACTCGGTACATATGGTGGAGACCACCAATTCAGCCCCGACAGAACTACAAACCAGTACGAGATATATATGATCGATCACATCTATCTAGTTAGGCACAGCACTCACTCTCGGAGATAGACGTTTCTAAATAATATATTATCTACCTAGTTATTATATCCCTCTCTGGAGATGTCCAACAGAATTCCGAATCCCCCAATTTAATCTCAAACCAAAAAACGCACATGAACAAAGGGGAAAACACACAGAGGCATCGAGGACAGTTCATCAAGTACGGCACTTCCTGACATCTGACATCCTAACATAGGCACTAGCCAACTATTAAACTCGAACCTGGAATTGGCATTGTAAGTCCAATCCCTCGTAAAAAAAAACAAAACCTCATCAGCCCACTCATTACTAATACACGAGACGTGTGAGAGATATCCTCGATCCTCAAAAAACATCATGTTCAATGACGGAGCAGGTCCAAGAAAGCATTTGTTCCTTGCTCGACGTCTTGCAGAGACCATCACATTCCGAAGAAAAGACATAGCCCAAACCCTTAGTCACGAACAGGGGGCAACAAAATCCTCGCACAGTTGTCCGGAACAAAATCAATAAATTGGTCTTCCCTCGTCCCACCGCCGGATCTCCAGATTCGAGTCCTCTTCCACCTTCACCACGCCGCTACCACGACTGCTGCCTTCTGCAGCCCTTCCATCTGTGATCAACCCCCCTGACCTCCGTCCCTCCAATCCAGGTGCCAGATCCAGAGGCCCAATCCACTCCCAAACCCGACTCCACTCGCCCGTCTTTCCTCCTTCCCGAGTTGCTGCCCTCACATTCGAATTCCCTTCCACAATCTTCCTTACATTTTGCCACACGCGCTCGCGCTCTGAAGCACTGAACACGTTCCGTAGCACATCATCCCGTAATTGGCCTACACTGATAAATGCTTCTGCGGCTCGTCCGTCTTGATGTAGAGCGGCTTGCGTGGCTAGTCTGTCCAACGTCGTGGCCACCAAGCGGGGAATTTGCGCCGTGGCTTGTTGGTGAGATATAATCTTGTTGCGACCGTAAACCAAGGCCGATGCAATCAGAATCAGAATTGCAATAGGGATTCGATTCTCTGTAAATGCTCGGACCAGCGATCGTCGGACGGCGCATGCGAAGGGGAGTCTGGCGAGGGAGGAAGATGAGAGGACTGTTCGCCCGGATCTGCAAGTGTTGGGACATGCGAGCTTCAGTCAGTCAGCGATTCGCAAACAAAGAGCGAGAGCGATAAGATGTGCTGGGCAAAGGATGTGGGATTCAACCATACCGATCTTGAGTGACCTCGACCTCGTCCCGCGCCTTGATATCCCCAAGGGCACCCCGCCAGAGCTCCTCGAATTCCTGCTCTGTCATTCCCTTCCTTCGTAACTTGGACACTGTTTGCTTGAGGTCCTCTTCCGCAATCTCCAATTTTGGCGCCGCGGATTTCGCTACTGTCTTGACAGTTTCGGTCTCCGTTGTAACAGGGACTGAAGAACTCGTCACATCACCTCCGCACTCGTAAGTCGCTCGCCTCTCGCGGAGTTCCTCGATGGCTCGATCTGCAACGGCCTTGATTCTCCTCTGCTTCTCGCTATCTGGTTCACAAGTCGGTGGCAGCGGGACGAGATTGTTCAAGCTCAAAGGATGAGGTTTGAGCACAAAGTCGCTTTCACATTCTACCTCCATGTTGGGGTAGCAGACTGCATGTTGCGGACAAGGCTCGCACTTTGGTTGCAGGTTCTCATGCACCCAGGCAGGAATGTGTGGATTGGAGGCTAGTGACCAGTTCGGTTCGCCCACCCCGCAATAGCCAATGCTGATCTTCTCCTGCCGGTACCACGCACCCAGGGCGGCAAGGACGGTGGTGATGACTGCTAGGGGAGCATTTCTCACGACTGCGTTCGTCTCCTTCTTCTTCTTCCGCCTCACAAGTGTTGAGGATCGACCCGGAACTACTTGTCCATTCCTCTCTTCTTCTGCCAGTTCACGTGCAGCATCAGGTGTAAACTCTTCCGTGACATCGATCCCGTCTTCGGCATCGGCACGTGCGATTTGAGACACCGGAAACAAGACTTTCGAGCGCGTTGGTGTAACCTCTTCTGATTTGATGGTTGGCGAGCTTGTCTCCCGGCGTTTTGTGGTGCTCGCTGATGATAATGATTTTCGTGACCGAGATGTCGACGGCTTGCGGTTATGCGACGCTGACGTCGGACTTGACCCCGACTGGAATGGATTCTCGTCGGAGAAAGGGCTTGTTTCTGCTCCCTCGACCGATTTCCTCTTGGACTTGGTATCTGGTCGTTCGATCTTAACGAAAGGTTCCTGGACAGCCTCAACGGGTGCGCTCTTTCTTTGTCTGCGGACCGTCGATTTCTCCACCTCTGGTTCCGTATCTGATGCGCGGGGTGTTCTGGTCGTACTCCTTCTACTGGGAGTCTTGGTTCGTCTGGCTGTCGATGGCACTGAGGCGGTGGCGGCGGAAGCAGAGAGGTCCGTTTTGCTTTTCCTACTGCGCGGCGTCTTCGGAGGCGGAGGAGGCGGCATCAACTGCTTGCCATCATCATCGTCATCGTCAACTGGCCCTTCTTGACTGCTTGGAACATCCGTGATGCCTTTACTTGTGCGCCGGACTCTAGCTTGCGCCCGCAGTAGCTTTTCCCTCTGTGGCAAGACCTCTTGCTCCAAGATTTCTAGGAGTTGTCCTTTCTTTGCCGAGGACGGGTAATGCACATTTTGGGCGACAAGAATTGAACGGATGCGGGGGATAGTGAGGCTATGCAGGTCGAAACCCGGTTGAAGGTAGTATAGTTCGTCTTCCTCGGCCATGGTTACGACGATGGCCACCACCGGTCAGCGCAAGACCCAGACCAAGACCACCTGCACCCGAAAGTAAGGGTAATTCGGTTCAGGAGAATTTGCCTCAAGGGGCAAGTTGGACAGGGCAGCACGAAGAGGGGTTTATAGAATAAAGTGGACAGGTTGCTTCGTGAACGGGCAACGGGGGGCAATACAATATGGGACAGGCAAGAAACAAGTTCAAAGATTGTAAACAATGGCGCAGTGGGGGTGTGAGAGCATCCACCTCAAAAATTGGTTCAAGCTGCCTTGGTGGTAGATTTCAACCAATCAAATTCTGCGCAGCCCCATGTATGTCATGTGACATGAATCATCCCTGTGGCAATACAAACAACAAAACCACATCGGCACACTGGCTTGTCCTCGTCTCGTGACCAAAGTAGAATCTGTTTATTGTTCAAACGAGTCTCGGACTCTCTCTAGAGTAGTGTCATCTTCCAGATCCTCGTCTTTACCAAGACAGTAAGAAAAGTTGAGTTGCATAGCCAACATCATGTAAGTCGTGATCCATACTCATACAGTGCAATGCCATCCCATCGCCGATGCATAATGCCGTAAAAGCTTGTCATATCATGATATGTCCTGATATCCTACACTTCACCCCAGGCCCCACCACTTGCCAGAATGCTCCCGCTGCCGACGCTTCCTCCAATGTCCCAGTAGTTTCGACTTGAGCCGCTTTTCGCCAGGGACGCTTTCCTGCTGCTCCGCACGCTCTCGCTCGCGCAGCTACTTGCAGGTCGTCTGATGCTTGCCCTGGACTCACGTCGCAAGCGCGCAGGAGACCGCTGAGCCCGCGCAACCAGAGGATGGTGCTGGCGTATGATGGCCGTTCTCGTAGCGGCGTCTTCGAGCGGTTGTCTTGAGGCCTGAGGAGACTGAGCAGACGACCTGATTGCAAACCGGTCTTTGAGGTAGCGAAACACCATCTTCAGGTCAAGCTCTCGCTCCCAATATTCTCTTTCTCGCTGAAGGCTCATGGATGAATCGAGCGGCGATGTGGTAGAGACTGGCTCTTCCTCGAAACCCCAGTTCTCAGCATGCGCCGCGTCACGGACGGTTGGTGGAAAATTAGGCGTCATGCCAGATGAGATGGTGGTTTTGGCGGGGATTTCCTCACTGGTTGGCAGTGAAATCTGGGGTTTGGGTCGAGCCGCGGAGACTGGCATGCCGGCATAATCAGGGCTACGGGAGTAAGCGGTGAAGGCTCCTGGATGTGGTGACAGTTGATGTACAAATACGCCCAATTCGCGGGCGATGCGTTGAAGGAGCTTGTCCCTCCACGTTGAGTCCTCCACAGACGGCCCTTCCGATGGTAGTTCAGGTATAGGAGGTAGAGCATGGCTGGAGGATGGCCGGCTCTCGTAAGCCTCGTCGGGAAGGCTCTCCCCAAATATTACCGACAGAAGCGGTTCATCAATGCCGATAACATCTCGGATAAACTTTTTCGTGATGCGGCGCCAGAAAGGCTCTGAGGCCTCGGGTTCTGCGGCTGGTCTGGATAGATAGTCGCTCTGCTTCGGTGTTGTTCCGAGCAGATCCTCATTGATAGATGCCAGTGTCTCTTGGTAACTGGACTGGCGAGATCCCCTCCTCAGTCGTCGTCTAGTTTCCCGTTCCACCTCGTCCATCAATGCTTGACTTTGTTCCATGCGCCACTTCTCTATCCGCATGCGCTTCTCCTCGCTCGCCTGCGCTTCGATCTCATCGATTGTATCAAGCCTCCTCTGCACGCTAGAAGGCCGCCGGTGATGTCCGTCGTATTTTCGTTTTGGGTTGTATGCCTCATGCTGCCATAATTGTTCAAGGACTGGAGGACTGGAGGCAGGGAAGGTGCCCAGACCGTCATGAGTTGGCAAGACTGCGCCCTGGGTCTGGTTGGAGATGGTTGGGTACAAAGGGGGTTCTCTGAAAGCATGTAATCCATCGTCTAGGCTGTCGAGTTCACCATCTTCCGTGACTTCTTCGTCAAAGACGGAAGACTCAAGTCTACCGGACCGTCCAGCAGTGTTGAGTGATATATCGCTTACTCTTGATACCCCCGCAGTCTGACTAGTATGAGTGCGGGTGATGGTTGATTCTGCAGTGCTCGGAGAGAACAGGACCCATTCCTGGGAATCTTCTACTGTCGAGCGTCGTAATTGGGTCTGAGAGGAAGAATCCTGAGATTGATTCGCATTAATGAGAATTGGCCGCGGTGCGGCGGATTGTTGGAAGGCCATGTTTCCCTACCCGCGGAGGTACGGGTGGGCCGTGCTACAGAGAGCACGAGAATGGCCGCTATCGTAGGATCGAACTGGGAAGGGTGATGGTGATGGTAAGGGAGAAAAGAGTCAATTGACAAAGGATTGGGTTGGTATTGTGTCGTCAATCTTCTTTGTCTCCGATGGCGTGTTCGTGACTGAGTCGGAATCACAAAAGGTGGAGGTCCAGCTCCGATCAAGGAGATGCGCGAATGATTTGGATGCTCCTTTCGGGAAACTCAATGCCGCAAAGTCGTTGATGATAATGATGAGACTGGAATGCAAAATGGACAACGAGGATTATCAGTATCGACACTATTAGACGAAATAACGGGTGTAAGGTATAAAGGGGTAAAGGGGTGTTGGGCATAGGAAGCGGGCAATCAGGTTGTAACGGTTCCTTTCAACCTTTGCAGGTGTCGGGTGAGTGACACGTCAAGGCGAGTAATCGACAGATAGAGCAGCCAGTGTGCCAGTGGTGCCAGTGGTGGCAGAAGGCCAATAGTCGGAGAAGCCAGCCGCAGGGTTGACAGCATGACCTGAGCTGCGGGCTGCAGGCGTATGCATGACGAGATTCAAGATTTGGCCGGGAGGCCATCATCGTTATCATAGGGCCTTGCAGGGACCATGAGCCTGTCCAACATTCCGCTCCCGGCCTAGCCTCCCCATCCTCTCTGCCGCGTTTGGCTGAAGAGATACAGTTGAACCCCCGAGATCTCCTATCTGCCGCCTAAACATACAACTCTCACCCTCCCTCCCAGTTCCATTCAACCCAAGCCAAGTTTGTTACGGACCCAGGCGGCCCTTCTGACTAATGGACTTCCCGGAAAACCACGCGACCTCTGTGAGAAATCTCGCCAGTTTCGCCCTTCATGGCGTATCACCAGTCTGCTACAATAATGACAATGTTGCCTCGAAGTGAAATGGCTTATGATTACAACTACGGCATGAGGGGCGAAAGACTCCTGGTAAATTTACCCCTGTTGTTCTCACAGCCTTCTGCTTTTAGGCACGCAATCTGACAGTCGGATTGTGGCATATTGCGTGGTGAACTGGAATCATGCACAGCCGGACAACGGTCGCCGTTCGGGAAATAATCAGGCTAGCCTGGGAAGAGCACCAGGTTCTTGTATTGCCACTCACGCCCTGTCGTCACTTTTGGGTCCATGGTAGCCAGGGTCAGGGCCAGGAATAGTATTACATATTACCTCAGTAGTACCAGGGGCAGCATCAACAGGGAACTTTGTCAGTTCCCATTTCTACAGGGACTCGGTACATACCATCACGTTCAACAGTCGTAGGAAGACTAGGAAGTTGTTGAGGCACATTTAGTAGATTGAACAAATAGGTCCATCTCATTGTATCGAAGTCCTTCATTTCGCGTCTATCATGAGCGCAAGTACCTGAGAGTACTCGGTACTTCTTGTGTTCCGACGACGCCCGTTCTGCCGAGCGAAGGGCGCGTTTTCATTCCGGACAAAGAATCACGCTGAGACGTGCAATACTGTTGTCCAGCCGATACCTTCGTTCCGTAGTACCAAAACTACTCCAGTATTCCACTTGTGACCTCTGCATATGCATCTTCCTTTCACATCTCAAGCCAAAGCATCAAATCTATGCCTCTGCTGCGATCTCGCTGCCGCCCTCGTACGCGCCGGGGAATCGTTTCATGTTCTGCTCAATATTGCCCTTGTTCCTCAAGAATTGGACATATGCACCATCGATCAAAACACGGCCCTCTTGCTTCAACTTGACGTACTCCTCACGTCTCAAGGGAGTGAAACCCCAGTTCTTGCTGACGATGATCTTTTGGCGACCAGGGAACTTGTACATGGAGCGTCGTAGAGCCTCGATAGCGGTGGCACGGTGGGCGTCTCGGGTTCGGACCGACAGAAGAATTTGACCGATATTGACACGGGCGACGGTGCCGTTGGGCTTGCCCCAAGCTCCTCTCATTCCAGTCTGAAGTCTATCGGCGCCGGCGCAGGACAACATCTTGTTGATGCGGACAACGTGGTAGGGATGGGCACGGACACGGAGATGGAAGCCTTCTTTGCCTGCAATCTTGACGAGATACCTGATGCCTCCGTTAGTGAAACTCTCCTTTTTCTTTGAACGTAGTTGTCGACGTACTTGTTGGCGCAGATACGGGCCGCTTCGAGTGCTTCGGAACTCAATTGTTCGTACTCATTGGAAACCATGTGCACGCAGAGAGGAAATTCGTCGACATTGGCACGCTTTCGTCCCAGATCGAAGATACGGATCTTGGGGTCAGGTACACCACGGTTGAATCGAGACTTGGGGTAGGGCTGCAGCGTGTTAGCACATCAATCGCACATTGGCACAAAATTGTCTGCCCACCTTGTTCTTGCAATATCTGTAGCATCTCGCTGGTCTTCTGGCCATCTTAACGGTTGTTTAGGGGGATTAGCACTTCTTGCGAACGAGATGGTCTGAGGGAAGAAGTTGAAGAGTCGACGATGAACTTTGTAGGTTGCGCACCGAACTTGATTTCAAATCGAATGCCAAGACCATCCGCCACCAAGAAACCAAGAAAGAAACAATCTTGCCCTAATTCCCGATCCGGAAGCCACTAATTCCGGGTGTCATTGTCTGACACAATTACATCTGCTCTGGCACCCTAGATTCAGGCATCTACTCTGTCAGACCTGATATTTATGGTCTTGTCTGGCCGTACACAAAATGAGTCACTGCAAGGGGAAAAGAGGCAACATCGGTATTTCATTATCTTGTCTGCTACTTGTGGACCGATAGAGCATGGTGGCCCTGTCTATTTTGTGGTGATTTATCGGCCTGGGCAAATCCCATATATGAGGGCACATGTTCCAGGGAAGGCTTCATCTCATTGTCGTGCCGTCTGCGCCTTGGACGGCCAGGGTATCATAACATGGGATACATGCACTTTTTGCCATCGTGCACTGATGTACGAGGTTTATGAGGCGGCACCCAGGATATCAGAGTCGCCGGCATCGAGAACAGCCATGGTGGAGCAGCGGTAGAGCTTTCCGCAAGCAGTGCCCAGTTCAATCTACAATTGTTCGGGGTAATATTAGCCAATGTTCCCTCCAAAGCTCTGGGGAGCTTCTTCTCAGGGTCTTCCTTGTGAAGCTGTACTCACATTGTTTCCAGCAAAGTGGTGGACATTTGTCTTTGAGAGCATGGAGTAGTACTCAAGTTCGCTCTTGCGGAGAGGAGGAGTATTGCCAGCAATGATGACCAGCTTGGCCTTTCCGGATCGAAGGCATTTGAGAGTCGACTTGTAACCGAGAGTGACTACATCGATCAGTTAGATGTGCACAAAGGCATTTGATTTTTAGAGCCGCAAACTCACCTTTGCCAGACTTCATCACAAGCGCCAGGCGCGAGTTGATGCTGTCGGTGGTCTTCTTCGCCTTCTTTGGTGCCATCGTTGCGCTCTACCAGATTTGACAGTAGGAATGACTGAATGATGCGCTCCGGCGGTTGTGTGGTGTTGGTGATGAGAAAACAAATTCAATCCATTAGCATGCTAGAAAATGTATCCGCTGTGGGAAGTTGTTCTTGGCAAAGCCAAGCACGTGAGACAGCCTTTGCCAACTGGAAGCGATGGTACCTAGTAGGATGTTCATGGCCCCTGGCCACTGCTGGGTTTTAACCAGGCGGACCCCGGAACCTCCCTCTCGCGGGCATCCTGCCAACTGCGGCAATGCGAGCAAGGGCCGCCTTTGGGCTGTCTCTAGCAACGCGAGGCTCCGCCGTTGCTCCTTCTGTTACCATTCCGGAGATTTCGATCAGGGCATGTGCACGCATGTTTGGATAATTGTTGGACATTGCCCATTCCCGCTGAACGGAGTATTCCAGTAATCAGCTGGCCGGTACTTTGCCTCTTCATTCCAACATCATCCTGCATTGGTTCCAAAACACCACCCATCATATCTGCACCAGCTGAACACCGTCGTCATTCATCACTGAGGCGCAGGCTCGCTTCCTGACCAATACCTGTGGCCACCTCCTGCGCAGCCAATACCACCTGCACACCCTCGACTATTTATGTTGCAGTCGAAAACAACCTCCCGATCAATCCATTCAGCGGTCCGCCCTCTGCCGCATTGCCTGCAAGTCTCAACGCGTCTCAACTGCTTGGCCAAAACTCTGCGAAGCTGCAATCCAGTATGGCTACTCCCAACTCCAAAGCACCACTGTCCAATCCAGCGAACACTCCTCCATCTCGTCGCAACCCCAACGACAATAGTCCCAACAGGCCAGGGGTTGGAAGTTCTGTACCAGCAAGTACAGGAACCGGCCTTGCACGAACTCCGTCGCTCCGGCAGACCCGTCCCTTGAGGAAAACGCCCAACCGGATGAGCACATCTTTTATTGGCTCTATCGATCAGGACCAAGAGGACGAAGAGGCAAAGTCTGCCAATGTAAAATTGATCAAAGATTTGCAAGAGCAAGTACAGCGCGCTGAGCAGGCGTCGGAGCGATACAAAAAACAATTGGAAGTGATGCAACAACGGCTGGATGAGACCTCGCAAGCGCAGATGGCGTTGGAAGAACGCGACCTACAAAAGCAAACGGAAAGGGACCGTTTGAAAGCGGAGATCAGAGACCTCAACAGACAACGCCGAGAGCTTGAAATTGAACATGAGGAGCACCAGCAGCTCTTTCTTCAAGAACGAGAACGACAAATGAAGAAGGAGGCGGAGCAACAAGCCACCATTAACAGACTCAATGAAGCTTTGCGCTTGCAGGGCACTGAAAGGTTGAACGCAAGCCGAAGCGCAGGCATGGCTGAGTTTCAGGCGGCGGACGCAAAAACTGACGGAGATGGCTCTCGATCAGAACATGCGGCGAACTTGGCTCATAGCCTGCAACAGAAAGATGAGACAATCAATGCTCTGCGCTTAGAGCTGGCCGAGGCACATCTGAAATTGACGCAACAAGAACACGTAGGAGACGGACGTCTCCTGGAGCTGGACCAAGCGATTTCAGAAATGAAGATGCAGAATGCCAAACTCAAAGAGGAAAATGAAAGCTTCCAGATGCTTTTGAGCGAGAAGACGCTCAAAGGCACGTTTATGCACCATGAACACACATACGACGAGCCGAGCGCAATGAGCACGTTGGCAGAAGAGCTCGAATCCAGCGAGGCGCAGGAGAGCACTGACGGTCTGAACGAGGTGTACAAGAAACTAGAAGGAGAAAATAAGTCACTGAGAGATCAAAACAAGGCTCTCACATTATACATCGACAAAATCATCGGGCGGTTACTATCGCACGAAGGGTTCGAGCATATCATTCAAGATAAAGATGATGCGCATCCGGCTCCCACAAAGTCATACACGGAGAAGGCGTTGCCTGCAATACCAGATCAGCAAGCAGCCGGCTCCTCGACCGTGGCGGGGGTAGCTACCGGCTTGCTGCAGCGAGCGAGATCTGTTGTTTCACGGCCAGGGGCCAAAGCTCGGCCAATGTCTTATGCACAACCAGCGTCGACGGGCCCTACAGCAAATGAGAATCCAGATACTGCGCCCAGTATCCCGCTGAACCGCGGACATCGCAGAGCGAGATCTGATCAGGCGCAGGCTGACATGGCGGCTGCGGCAGTGGTTCAACAGATGAATCGTGGATCTCCCATGAGGACTGCTTCTGGAAATCCAATGAGCCCGGGCATTCGACCACTCAGTCCACAACTGCCTCAAGGACGCACATCATACTTTGGTGGCCCTTCCAACTCTACAACTACACGAACTCCATCTGCCTCCGGCACGCGTGGAGGTAGTTCTGCAAACAGCATCACCAGTGATTCACATAGCGACGAGCAACGGTCGACAACCGATGCTGGCTCGATGACCGCACAAATGAGTAGAGAGACACAGGTTCAAGGGAGTATTCCGGGAGCGGTGATGAAACAGAACCAGCTGAGGCCACTACGATTAGTGCAAGAGCAGACAGCCTCTGAAGAAGAGATGCAGAAACGAGCGAACAGAAATTCCGTTTGGGGCTGGTTCCGGGGGAGCACGATTGAGACTCAAGACGAGTAAAGAGCAGTTTAGCTGAGGATGGACATGTAAGTGGATAGACTCTAGACTAAGCCTTAAGACCTTTGGAATGACCGCCCTGGGCGGGCTGGGGAACAATCCACGGACGACCAGTGTTACAAGAAGCATCGAGTTCGAGATTGAGCTGGCGTGGCTGGTTCCCTTCGAGTGGCTACACGTTGTCTGACCGTGGATTGGTGCCCTCTCCTAAGAATAATTCTGCGTGGACGAGGAAATCAGCGTCTGTCAGACGTAAGTCTTTTTTCGAAGGTGCGGCTTTGCCCAATGTGGGCATCCGCTTCCCGGGACGCCGCCCCGAGTCTTTTCTGACATGCGCGAATTCTGTGTTTCGTCTGTTCACGACTGCGCTTTCTCCCATCCAATTCGAGGACCTTTTCCCATGTCGCTCTGGTTGTCTCCAGTATTTACCCCTTTGGCGGGCTTCTAGGACTCCACTTCGACCCATTCCCACCTCTACGGGCCATTTGACGGCGGTACAGGTGTAAGTTACGATGACGATGCAGTCCCCATTGGAGGAATGGGCGGGGTGGGCAAAAAAAGTTGGTACAACAAAGCAAAGGGCGTCGAGTCACCATTGCCTCCCGCTCCCCTTCAGCGTCTTCACCTTTTGACAAAACCGTCACGTAGATTTCGTGCTCCCTAAGATACTCTCTTGATTTCCTTCTGCCTCTTTCTTTCTGCCGAATCTACCACTTTGAGTGACATCGATAACTTTACCCCTCCAGCTACATATCGACACAGCCCCTCACCGCATCGACGTCGTCTAAAATGCCGGCCCAACCCAAGATTCACTTGGTCCGTCACGCTCAAGGCTTCCACAACCTGGGCGCTGAATTCCACTCTCTTCATGACCCCCATCTCACGCCTCTGGGAGAATCGCAATGCGCCAACCTCCGAGAACGGCACTGGTCTCCCGAACGTCAGCAGTCACTCTCGCTGATTACCGCATCGCCCCTCAAGAGAACCCTCCACACTGCTTTACTCACCTTCTTGCCAGCCCTGACAGCCGACGCCAAGTGCAAGCCTACCATTCTCGCGGTTCCCGATGCCCAAGAAACCTCCGATTGTCCCTGTGACACAGGCTCCGACGTCAGTGTCCTGCAAACTTTCTGCGCCGAGCAGAAGTGGCCCGTCGACCTTTCGCTTGTGACAGAGTCATGGAACGTCAAAACACTAAACGGCCGCTACTCTCCGTCAAGCGAGGCTATCCAAGCCCGTGCAAGAGACTGCCGCCGTCTGCTCCGCCAAAAGGCTCGCGAATTGGTAGAGAGTGGAGACGACAACGTCGAGATCGCCCTGGTGACGCACGGTGGCTATCTTCACTACCTCACAGACGACTGG